AGCCAGAGTGTGCGAGCAGAAATACAAGACAAGACAACAACTGGCAAGGTAAAAGTAGATGGGTGTAGATGTGGTCGACGACGACCCAGGGACCGCCGTAGGGGCTGCGAGGATAGGTGGATATCGAGCCTGTGTGGCTTGCAGGGCCTGGGCCTGGGCCTTTGCTCGACTTTGGTGAAGATGCAGAATCTGGGCTGCTGCGTAGCTTGGTGATGAAGATCGAGATTCGAGAAGAGTGGATTCGGATCAGATGGGGTGGATAATGACAAGGGAACCGCAACGGGTTAGCGTAGCTTGGAGCTTGACAGGGCAACCAAACCGACGCACCGTGGAGGAAATATACACTCGTGACTCGAGTCAGAAGCTTTCACATGGAACCGGAGTGTCGATGAGACAGGTAAATTAGGCATGAGACATAGACCAAGAAGAAGATTGGTGTGAGGTGTGAGGTGGACGAGTGACAAGTGTAACTACTAATCACCAACACCTACACAAAGCATGGATGAGATTCAAACAATTGCCGAGTAGGGGCAGGGTGTCAATAGCCAGCTGCGGATGGCGCGGTGTACTCGATAATGGCCTTCCGAACCCTTTTGGGCCTGATAATCGGCAAAATTGCATTTTGTTGGTATCGATGAGAAGGATAATGCAGAGGAGGAAAAATGTGGTGTCAGACTACAAAGCAAGATCAAAGAGCAAGAGCAAGAACGAAGACAGCAACCCACCCCCTCAATTCCGGACCTTGTGTGCCCAGGTGGCTGTCTGTTACGAGTCCGGTGAGGTGGGACAGGAGATGACTACCAGACCTTAGGTACTAGGTACTTAAGTACCTACCTACCTAGGTACCTACCTACCTACCTAGGTAGGTAGTGACCGTGGGTGCAGAACGGCGTAATTAATAAGAGTGGAAAAAGATGGCGCCTACGTTATCATGTATGTCTAGTGGTTTAACCGAAACAATTTGGTTCTTGAACTGAGACCGTGAGACGCCAGAGCTCGGCTCTCATCTGCGGAGGTGGTGACTCAAGCTTGATATAGGCCTCACATGAAGGCCGTCGAATCCAACAGCCTCAATCAAGCCCGTCTCGATGCTTCGAATTCAGCAGCTCGGCCAACATTTCCAATTCGGGCCCGGCTGCAATGCTCAACTCCATAGTCAAGACCCTGATGCCAACGAGCAAGTTGCCCTAGGTATAGGTAAAGCGGAGAGAACTAGAGCCTGTAATTTATTCCCTCCCGGGGCCGCCTGTAGCGGGTTTTTGCTGTTAGATTTCAGTCCGCTGAAGCTGCTGCAGACGAGCCCGCTGAAGCTGTTGAATTTAAGCCCGTTAAAGCCGCTAAATTCAAGGCTGCTTACGACGAGCTTTACTAACAGCTAAAGCCCGGAGGTTCGTGATGTTACACACGTGAGTGGCGTAAGCCACATTTTGACGTTAAGTAAATTACGGAGTACCGAAGAATATTTTTCCTTGAACCAATTAAATCCTGAGGGACGCTCCCATTGATATCAGAGGCAAAGCGGGAAGCTGCAGCCAGGCCCGAGCTTGCTTGCCAACGTGCCGTTCAATCACTCTACGTCGGCCACCACTTAGTCCCGCTTTGCCTAATAATGTGACGTTGGCGTTCGCTATATGATCGGGGTAGTTGGACGGAAGCAACACTCGCGGGGAGTTTTGGAATAGATAGCCTCGTCTGCACAGACTTGGTTCATCTCGCTACGTGAGGTATTGATTTCACGTTCTTCCTTGAGTATTCCCACTCCATCCTTTTGAATGTGCGGAGGTGCGTTTGCTGTACCGAAGCAGGATGTGACCCGTTTAGAGGGCTTATATTCAAGTATACTTAATTTTATTATAAAATAACATGATAATAAAAGTATTACATATACAAGAGGTTACTTCACCCTTATCACGTCATAAGCATACTTGCAGGGTATTTTGTTACTGAAAGGTAGGGTCTGGTGCAGGATTGACTTTTGCCACACATAAACATGATTGCCATGTAAATCAGTAAATATCAGCTACATACAGAGATCTGAAAATACATCCACAGCGATCAAAATTGCTCCGACTGCGGCCTTTGCGCAGCTTTCTGAAGAGCAGGGAGGATTCGGGAGTGAAGCAAGGTGAAACTAGTTGCACTACTAGAACATGTTTACAAGACAAATAAAACACCGGATTTTAGTATCCCCGATTCTGACAACTACTGTATGTGAACAAGGAGATAACTTTATGGTACACTAGGCCTTTGGTGAAAACGGTAACTCTTACACTCTATACCCGAGTCTCGCTTTTGCCATCCCTGCCGGCCCGACGCTGCCTTAAAACTTTGGCTTCATAGTGTTCCGTAGTCTCTGGTAGTCAAACAATGCTTCAATGTTACCAACGGCGCTGATGGCAATATCCTTGTCCCACAGCTTGCGGTTGGCAAAGTCCATGACCTCCTTCTCCGTGATGGCATCGATTCTGCGCTCAATCTCTCCGGGCATCATGCGGCGGCCAGTGGTGATGAGCTGGCGGCCAATGTCCTCGGCAACGGCGGTGGTGCCGTCGAGAGACAGGAGTATGGAGGCCTTAAGCTGGGCCTTGGCACGCTCAACCTCAGCTTCGCCGACGTCAGTGCAAAGGCGCATCCACTCACGCATGGCGAAGTGGACGAGATCGTCGAGGCGAGTGATGTTGTCAGTAGTTAGATAGATACCCCACAGACTAAACCACTCTTGTTAGCGACAATTCTGCCCGACTCTGCTTGAAGGGGCGCTCAATCATACCCAGTATCACTGTAGCTGGTGGAGAAGCTCATGAAGCTGTTAGCCAGCTCGTGTCGGTGGACGAGGCCACTGAGCTTGCTGCCCTGGTGGGGAGCGTTACCCATGGCCTTGTCATAATTGCCGACAATAGCCTGGGTGACCAGAGCAGTGAAGTAGTCGTCAGAGCTCCAGCTAACACCCTCAACAGCCAAGGCGACGTTGGCAGTGCCCATGGTGTCATCACGGACACGAACATCGGATCCAATGAAGTCCGCCTTCTGCTTAGCAAGGAGGTAGGCCTGGGTCTCGGGGCTCTTGGTGGGGAGGCCGGCGAAGTGCTTCTCAGCCAACTCAACGAGCTGCTCATGGGGAATGCCACCAGCACCAACGAGGACCATACGGTCGGCGGTGTAGTTGTTCTTGATGTAGCTGGTGAGCTCGGTTCGGGTGATGTCGCGGATGTTCTGGCGAGGGCCAAGGATGGTGCGGCCCAGTGGCTGGTGCTGGAAAGCAGTGGCGTGCAGGTGGTCGAAGACGACCTCTTCAACTTGCTTCTCAACTTCCTCGGACTCACGCAGGATGACATCACGCTCGCGCTCGATGGCAGACTCCTCGAGCTTTGAGTTCTGCAGAATATCGGACAGGATGTCGACGCACTGGGGAACATCGGAGTTGAAGGCCTTGGCAAAGTAGACGGTATTCTCACGCTGTTGGTCGTGTTAGTTGTCCGGCATTCCGGCGTTCCCCTGGAGAGTTTGCATCCACGTACAGAAGTGTAGGCGTTGAGGTGGCCGCCCATATTCTCAATCTCAAGCTCCAACTGCTGCTGCGATCGCTTGGCAGTGCCCTGGATACACGGTTAATATCTTTGACTACCGATTGCGCCCCGGTGGTGATTGTTGCTATTGTACCTTGAAAGCTAGATGCTCGAGGAAGTGCGCGGTGCCGTTGTTCTCGTCAGTCTCGGCGCGGGAACCGGCGTCAATCCAGACACCAACGGTCGAAGTTTGGGCCCATGGCGAGTGCTCAGTAGCGACCTAGTATTCCCGTGTCAGTAGTAAGGCAATGCAAGGTATATCGCGGCCAATTGAGCCCGGGTGAATGGTACGCACGGTCAGGCCGTTCTTGAGTGTTGTCGTTTGAGTTTTGCCTATGCTGGAAGGAGTCGCGAAGCCGCGACGAAGGGAACCGGCGGCCGACAGACCAGCACGGCTTCGCAGGCCCTGCGAAAGGTTCAAAGCTAGTCTGCGAGACGCCATGGGGGAGGATTAGGTGGCTCGGATATGGATTGAGTGGTTTGATGAAATCTTTCAATCTCGCTCGGCTAGAAGCTTTCCTGAGATGATTTGTGGCCTGAAGCACCAGGCGTCCATTTGCCATTCCGACCAGCTCCGAGGCTTAGCCCCCATGGTCAAGCAGAGGAAATGGGGCCAATCAAACCGCTGCATTAGTAACCTAACAATAAGTGTTCTATTCCCTTCCGACCAGGGCCATGTTTCGTAAGCATGTGTTGAAGGTATCCTTATTAGTAGCTATGCTTATGATTGCATTAGATCTTGGCCACAGCTGACGATATTATGGAAGCACACATAAAGACCCAAATCCTTTGACCATGCGACGTAAGGCTTGTGCAATGGGCCAATGCAGCGGTGGATTCCTTCAGCACAGTGTCCCAATAACCTACAGAACATGCCAAAATAGCGTCTTGACGGCATTTACAGCCTACACCACAGTATATTTGCATCTGAATAAGTATACACTAACATATCGTATAATGTTTGAGTAAATCGTACAATAGCCAGGTACCTGCTCTGGTTGACTCGATCTGCACCCCACCGTGGCCAGCATTGGCCCTGGCCCCTGAGCATTTGCCGGCGGGGAAATCCATCAATTGGTCGTCACCACTTGGAGGACTCTACTCACACATTGATTGTGTCGTACCGTACAGAAAACGACAGGACACTGAAGGTTGTATGTTGTATACAAACATACATGCAAGTTGTTGGAAACTCTTTAATTCCTCTAGCCCAGCGACAATTATGAAAGCACTGGTTCAAAGTGATCCCTCCTTGGCCAAGTCACCATCGTCCAGGACAGCACAGTCGTGGTCACATCGGGACTCGAAATATCCAACCGCCGAGAGGAAGAAGAATAGGATGTTGCGCTTTGGATTTCTGTAGACAGCAGACGCTGGAGTGAGACACGTCTGAACAGGCTGGGCCATGGTGCTGAACCGCCTGTGCTCAGCAAAATGCCAGAGTCGTCGTCATTCCTGTATCGCCGGGGTTCATTTTCGCTTCAAGAATCTGCGGATTTCACTCTTAAATTTCGACGAGCAAGTGACAAACTGTGGAAACGGGTACGTGAAGAGGAGGGGTTGAATGACGGTATCATTATTCTATCGACATCTCACGCCTTGCCATCCGACGACTCAAGGCCATGTATCCCGGACTTGGACACGGAATGGAACGTCTCATCTCACATCAGTCAGTCCCCAGGCACGCAATTATGGTCACTTAGTTGTTCCTTGCCTGCCTCTGTAGGGAAGAACTCGACATTTAGAGATATTACCATCGGGCCGCCGTGGGGCTCATTTATGAGGTAGGCAATTTCCATTTACGAGGCAGAACAAAGTCGAACCGTATACTGGGAAGGGCTCAGAACCCGTAGAATTACAACTGTATATTGATGCTGTCGACGTTGCTAATACGATGTAGATGGTTTGCTCTCGTACGTCACAGGGCAGCTTGGCTGGGCCCTCGGCAAGGCGGATCTCGTTTCTTCCCAGATCAGGACGCAATTCTGGGTTGTTTTCTAAGCCATAATGGCAATACCATGGCAATACTTGCCGTGAGTGGCGTAGGCAACGTAACAACGACTATTCGGGATAATGGCCACGGTGTGGTCGCTGTTCACGTATGCAGGGACCCGTTTTCGTTATCTTTAGCATTAGGATTAATGGTTGCAGGCCAGAAACGATTCTGCGCCGTCAGAAACAACTGTGGTTCTGATCTCGGAAGGGATCGATTTCGACCATGCGGTTGCTTCCGTCATGTACCATGCAAGAACAATGGTATCAGAGACAGATGCCGTGTCACAAAACCGTACCAATAGTCGACCAAAGTGGGATGCAAAAGCTATAACTGGGTGGGAGCAGGAATGGCAGGATGGTTTAGAATGCTGTACGTTATCCCCGTTGTATAGAATGCGTCCTCCCACGCGCGGTAGAAGAGCTTGCTAGGAACAAGATACAAATCACGAATCTCATTATCGATGACAACTGGCAGTCTCTAGACCGTACTGGAAGTGATCAATCACAGTGTGGATGGTCCGAGTTTGAAGCAGACCGCAAGGCTTTTCCCAGCGGTCTGAGAAGTGTGGTAGCACAAATTCGAAACTTGCACCCAGCTCTTCAGAATATCACCGTATGGCATGCCTTGCTGGGATACTGGGGCGGCATCTCACCCGATGGGCTTATTGCGAAGACTTACAACATAATCAAGGTAGCCCAAGAGGGTGAAAACAGTCATCCCTTGACCGTTGTGAGTAAACCGGATGTATTGCGATTATACAACGACTTTTACAGATTCTTCGCTTAGTCGGGGATTGATGGCGTCAAAGCTGACGCACAAGTCATGATCGACCTATTGAAAGATGCACCGGATCGTCGAGATCTAATATCTACCTATCTCGATGCCTGGTCCAAGGCCTCAAAACAACATTTTGGTGGCAAAACCATATCATGCATGTCCCAATTTCCATACTCTCTTCCGCTCTCAACTACCCCGAAGTAGAGAAGAGTTTTTCGTCAGGAATTTAGATGATTTCTTCCCAGATGTTCCACGGTCACATCCTTGGCATATCTGGGCCAACGCACACAATGCCATCGTCACTCAGTTTCTGAACGCAGTTCCGAATTGGGACATGTTCCAAACTTTGCAGAGCTACTCGGAGTTCCATGCAGCAGCACGATGTGTAAGTGGCAGTCCAATTTATATCACAGATATTCCCGGCGTGCACAATATGCATCTGATCAAGCAAATGACTGTTGCTACGCCACTTGGTCAGACGGTTATTCTTAGATCGAGCGTCCTGGGTAAATCAATATGTGCTTATGCTGGATATGAGGACGATTTGCTTCTGAAAATTGGCAGCTACAATGGTAAGTCTCAAGATCTGTACAAACTGCCCACTGTGCGCTGATGATGAACAGGGGCGTCCCAGACGGGCACTGGTATTCTTGGCCTTTTCAATGTTTCAACAAGGCACCTCACCCAAGTCATCCTTCTAGAGCTCTTTATCGGAGTGTTTCAAGGAGGAAAATACGCCGTTCGATCACATACAACAGGGCAAACTTCGACGCCGATGTCAATTGGTGCCCCAGACTCAGTAATTGCTGCATCGATAAATGAGGCAGGATATGGAATTTTATGCGCTTTCCCGGTGGCACAATTCGAGAGTGATTGATATGACAATGGATACGCTGGTGCCGTTGGCTTGGTTGGTAAGATGACAGGATGTGCTGCAATCACATGCAGCAGTGTAGCTCAACGGGATTCCGGCAGAGTCATCGTGACCTGCAACCTTAAAGCGTTGGGTACTCTAGGCGAGTTAAAGCACGGCAGTTTCGGGGTAAATCGCATATGCTGACATGGCTGGGTAGGTCTGTACATTTCTACGCTTCCGCATTTGAACATTGAAGACGACTTCATGGTAGCAATAGAGGACCAGCCTGTTCGGTTCGAAACGGTGAGTAGAAGGAAAGACGATGAGCGAATTTTTGAAATTGATGTTGAAAGAGCTTGGGAAGAGATGGCGGTGAGCACTTATGCAGCGAGGTGAAGTGCAGATCAAAGTGAGCTTCCAGCCTTGATTTGGGAAATGGGGCACTTGAGTGGCATCGATAAATGAATACTGGAGTGTCACGGAGAGTTCTGTGCGACGTCCAACTTCATGCAAGGTGCAAGCTTTGCAAAATAATGCATGGTAGATTATACAGTCTGGGGATACTTGCCTAACAAGAAGTACATATACACTAATAAAGCATTGACTGTAGTATGGTATAGGATGGAGTACGGTAACCATGTACCTGAGCCTCCCACTTGGTCGCAGCTAAGAAACACAGGGGTCGTGCGTGTGGTTGAAGTCGAGTGTGACATCAGGAAGGAGCATCCCACCTGCTAGCAACTGCCCCGCTTCAGAAAAAAAAAAAGGTTCTGGCGCATCCTCCATGCACGCACCAAACGTCGGGTTCAGTGTGTTTAGCCACCTGGGAAAGCTCCGCTCCTGCAGGGTCCATACACCAAAAAGTAAAAGAAAAAAAAATTTCGGCCCACCTCATCTCTCCCTCTTTAGCCTTCTTCTTTCCTACGGGAAGAAGCGCCGTATCAACCTCAACCAGTCGATTCAGTAGATCCTCGCCAGTTCTTCTACTTCGACTCTACGTCTTCGACCTCGTTCTTTTCTTGCCCCCAGCCATTTGTGTGTTGTATTCGCAATGGCTACTCTCAACGCCTTCGGCGCTGGCAAGGTGCTTGACCACACCACCGCCCTGGATGTGCTCAAGGAATACAAGACTGCCGATGGCCTCGATATCCACGAGCTCATGGATACTACCAAGCACGGCGGTCTTACCTACAATGACTTCCTGCTGATGCCTGGCTACATTGGCTTCCCTGCCTCCGAGGTAACACTCGACTCTGCCATCACCAAGCGCATCACTCTCAAGACTCCCTTCGTGTCTTCTCCCATGGACACTGTCACGGAGCACGAGATGGCTATCCACATGGCTCTCCAGGGAGGTCTGGGTGTCATTCACCACAACTGCTCTCCCGATGCTCAGGCCGATATGGTCCGTAAGGTGAAACGATATGAAAATGGCTTCATCCTGGACCCTGTTGTCATCGACCGCAATACCACTGTTGGCGAGGCAAAGGCCCTCAAAGAGAGGTGGGGATTCGGTGGCTTCCCTGTCACTGGTAAGTTGATAATATACATTCTACCGCTTGCTTGTGACCCAATACGCCATTACACTGCAACATGATTATTACCCAATCAATTATAACTTTCGTTCCACCGCAAAGACTTCACGTCATGGGGAGAAAAATACTATGACCACTGCACACATTTTGTAACCCGTCATGATGAACCATGTTTTGGGGGCTAGTGGCTAACATCATTGGACACAGAGGACGGCAAGCTTGGCTCCAAGCTCCTTGGTATCGTTACCAACCGAGACCTTCAGTTCGAGGACGAAAATGATGCTACCGTCGCTAGCGTCATGGTGACTGACCTGGTGACTGCCCCCCACGGCGTCACTCTGGTCGAGGCCAACAAGATTCTGGCCAAGTCGAAGAAGGGCAAGCTGCCCATCGTTGACAAGGACTTCAACCTTGTCTCCATGATTTCCCGATCCGATTTGACCAAGAATCAGCACTTCCCTTTGGCATCTAAGCTGCCCGACAGCAAGCAGCTTCTTTGCGCCGCTGCTATTGGTACTCGCCCTGAGGACAAGATCCGCTTGCAGAAGCTTGTCGATGCCGGTCTTGACGTTGTCATTCTGGACAGCTCTCAGGGCAACAGCATGTATCAGATTGAAATGATCAAGTGGTGCAAGAAGGAGTTCCCTGGCCTCGATGTCATTGGCGGCAACGTTGTTACTCGCGAGCAGGCTGCCTCTCTCATTGCTGCTGGTGTTGATGGCCTCCGAATTGGTATGGGCAGTGGCTCTGCCTGCATTACCCAGGAGGTCATGGCAGTCGGTCGACCTCAGGCCGCGGCCGTCTACTCCGTCAGCAGCTTTGCTGCCCGCTTCGGCGTCCCTTGCATTGCTGATGGCGGTGTCCAGAACGTTGGACATATCGTCAAGGGCCTTGCCCTTGGTGCTTCGACTGTGATGATGGGAGGTCTCTTGGCTGGTACCACTGAGTCTCCCGGTACCTCGTTTGTCTCTCGCGAGGGTAAGCTTGTCAAGGCTTACCGCGGCATGGGCAGCATCGATGCTATGCAGGACAAGAAGGCTGGCGGCGGCGGTAAGGACAGCCAGAAGAGCAACGCTGGTACTGCCCGATACTTCTCCGAGGGCGACAGCGTTCTGGTTGCCCAGGGCGTTTCGGGATCCGTTGCTCACAGAGGGTTTGTTGCCACACTCGCCCCCTTTCCCTATTAGAACATATTAACTGACTTCTCAAATAGTTCTATCAACAAATTTGTTCCGTATCTGGCTGCCGGTCTCAAGCATTCGATGCAGGATTGCGGCATGAGGAGCTTGGCAGAGCTCCACGAGGGTGCTGCCAACGGCACTGTCCGCTTCGAGCTCCGCACTTCCAGTGCGCAGTTGGAGGGTAATGTGAACATGGAGGCGTATGAAAAGAAGCTTTATGCTTGAATGGATATGAAATCTAAGAGACATGATTATTGAATGGTGATGGGACGGGAAAAGGAAAGAAGTCAACTGGGTGTCGAATTTCGCTTCAAATGATTTATGGGAGTTTTTTTTTTCTGGATATGGAGTAGCATTGGTAGAACCTGGCAGGAGGCTAATTTATTAATGGTTCTCTTGTCGGATATGATTTCTCGGGACCAGCATAAATGTCAATAATTTTTTGATTCCCCCTAAATCTGATGCTGTACTACTGTGACGAGTCATGTCATATGGCTCTGGATGATTGATACAGAAAGTTATGCTTAGATTTAGGGAAACTGAGCGCAGCTAGCAAAGAGCGCAGGGTATTCGAATACATGTGTAAAATAACCAAGACGAACGCATTCCAAGCAACAAGAAAGAACAATTACAAGTCAGTATGAGTCAGCCAACTCACGGTACTAATAATGATGTCAATGAGTGTAATTTGCAACTGCGATTGCCGTGTGTAAAAAGTATGTATCAACATCACAGCGAGTAGAACGGCGCGGTTTTCTTCTTGCAGCTCTTTATCGTCATTATTACATTACGATTTAGTCGAAACTTGGTCCAATGGTCTCGTCGAGCCGGTTGTTCTTTCAGTCACGTATTGTGGAGCACGGCCAAGTCAGCCTAACCAGCCGAGCATTGGAAGGTGAGCACCTCATGTGGTTTCAAGTTTCCTGCATTGGATGCGGAAGCTGCCGAGACGGCAGGTGCTGGAATACAGCCCTGCGAACGTGGGTTCCTTATTTTATTCGTTGCAGCAGACCGAGTTTTGCACAATACTCCATGTGTGCGCCTTGCTTTCCTGTCCTCGGCACCTCAATTAGCAGCAGTTTCCAAATGACTCCCAAGTTTTGCCAGTCGTTCATGAGGTTGTCGCATCTGTCGTCGAGTCGTGACTGATACATTGACAAGATGCAGTTAATACATTGCCCTTCTCCTTTTATTGCGACAAACACCATCGGGGCCGCTGCGTGACCAAAATATGCCGCTGAGTACACACTCGATGCAGCAACACCACAATCATTCACCTCATCCCATCACCACCCGCCACAGGCTTCCTCGTCCGCCTCCTCACCCTGCGACTCATAATCACGTAATCCGCCGCGATCAGCTTCCCCCTCAACCTCCTCTCCCTCGGCGAATTCTCATCCACCCCGAACCCAAGCCGTTCGTAAAACCGCCTGGCACGCTTGTTGCTCACAAAGCACGTCAGCATGACCTTGTCAATGCCTTCTGCCCGCTCAGCCACCTCTGTCAAGTATCCCATCAACTGGCTGCCCAAACCCGTTCTATATGATCAAAACAAATTAGCTCACTTCTCGCCATAGAAAAAAATTATTTGTAATCATTTAGCATACATACCCTTTTACTTCATCCGTCAGATGAATCTCATAGCAATACACCACCGCCTCGCCATTCTCCCACGTCGGCATGAGCGACGTGAATCCGCAAATCTCCTCCCCGCGCCGGACCAGAATGTACCGCAGATCAGGGGACCGCATCTCCTCCTTTTTGGCAGACGGGTGCCATCCCTGCCGCGAGAGGCGGTAGTCCCGGCCGCTCGTTTGGTCCACGATGCCAAAGCACCTGTTGACCTGGGCCTCTGTCAGCCGCGCCGCCTGAAGGAGGGATATGGCATATCTGGTTTTAGAGACGGGGTGCGTCCATTCACAAGGTCTGGTAAGAAAAGATAAAAAAAAAAAAATCTTAGCTTCGTAGATTCTCATCGTGGTGAACTCGGCTGGATGTAAAATACAGTGATGGCAGATATTCTTTGATAAAAAGGTCGTCTGGCTTGGCGTTGACCTCCTCTACAGGATCGGCAGGTTCGCCAGCATTCTTTGCCGATTTATCGCCGTTAACCCTGGGTCGGGACATATTTCCTTCACAGGAAAATTGAGGAGGGTCCCCCCGGGGAGCTATATTCGGTTCATCAAAGACTCGCATTTGGTTGCAAGAATGCTTGAACTGTGCAGCAAATTGCAATATCCCGTCGAATGCCAATCTACGCGTCCGCCGCGACAGCCGAGGTTCTCCCGTTCCCTCCAAAATCACACCAAGCGCAGCATCAAACCTACAAAATCCCCAAAACGCAAACACAATCCCTCATTTCATTTCCATGAGATAGCCAATGAAATACCCCGCGTTCCTACGCATCCGTGGCTATGCCACCCGCCGCCGGGGCAAGCTCAACGCCCTGAACCTCGATCACGTACAACCCCCCCTCCAAATGACGTCTACTCTCACTCGCCCGAATACAAGCTCCATGAGAAAAGAAAAGGGCTAACACGCACCACAAAGTTCCTCCAAAGAGCAAGAGTCCTCTCCTTCTATAGGACAATTCTCCGCGGCACACGCCAGATCCAGGACCCGCGCACCAAATGCGAAACCAGGAAGTTCGTACGCGACGAGTTCGAAAGACACCGCGGTGTTACAGATATTGTGAGTCCCACGCATTCCTTTCTCCCCCTTGTTCCTCCCATGAATGCGGGCGGGTATTCACCATGCAGTCACATGTACGGTATCTCCTATCAACAGGCAAGACAGAGTGGGAGAGTATGGAGAGATATATAGGGGGTATGTAGAGGTGTCAAGTGTAAAGTACTAGTCCGAGCATCCGCGCTGCGATGCCCGCCGGTGTATTCTAATCCGAAGCCTTTTTTTCCCCGCCAGTAGTGTACAAAATTCTCGCGCCGTCTTGATATTCCCCACGTTCAACTGAAGTGATACACACACACAAAAAAACAGAGGGCAGCCTATTTGCCCAGGCGCCTTCGTCACGGCCCAATTATTGATGTCGGTCCTACTCTCGATCGGTGATGGCTCAACTCTGTCGCTGCTTGTGTCGTGGGTTCGCCTTGCAAATAATGTACAGGTACCCATTATGTCTCTTGCCGGCCTTTCGTCGAACAACCTGGGTAATCCGTCAGTTTCTCAAAACGGCTTCTTCCAATCTTAGCTCAATCCCGCCCCCCCCCGAAGAAAATCTCAAAAGACCAGACAAGGCACACAGAAATGCTGACCTTGCAATGCTCACACCTCTTCTTCACCGAGCTGTGAACCTTCATCCCCCTCGTCTGTTGTACTTGCTGCAACGCCCTTCCACCAATCTTGCCCAAACTTGCGCCCAACGCTGGCGCCCATGTCGTCGCGCGGCAGAAAGTGCCGATAAGGGCTGGGACAGATTGCCTCGGGGTGATTTCCCGTGCTGGGAGCGCAAAGGTGCGCAGGAAAAAGGCCATTGTGGCTGTTTGAATGCTGAATTGCAAGGTTGAAAGTCGGAATCGGGACGACGTTCCGCAGCTCTTCCCAAAGTCACACATCACGTGACTGTGAAATAGGCTCAATATAACTACTGGAGGCTGCGCAGGAAGCTGCTCGCTAGGTGTAAAAGGTACAAGTATTAAAATTTTTATATTTAATTTCTAACATATAATCCCTCCGCAATGAGGATAAACTAGCTCACAGTGTTCATTTTTTGGCTAGCTCTACGGTGAACTTTTTCAGCTTCCCCCCTTTTTCTTACTTCTTTTTCGCATCTTAATAGCTCTATTACAAGCTTTCACAGCTGCCTTGGTCTTTTAGGCCCTTTAGTTGTGGCTGCAAGGTTTTCAAGTGCCTCTTTTCTTTTATATGATAAATATAATATTATATATTTAAAGCTTTACTCGTATTTACGTTTAAATTTTTAGTATTTTTTACGGTTATATAATAGTTGAACCTAGCGGGCTATTATAGGTGTTAGCAAAGTCTAATTACACTCTTATTGAAGCAAGCACGATACGTTATATTCTAGTACTAGACTTACGAAATCTCGGCTATGAGAATACTACGAAGAATCTGTGATTCTTTAACATGCGTCTGAATGTCTCAGTACAGGCCCGGATCTACGCTCCGACCAATGGGAAACCTGCATGATTTCTCGGGAGTTTGCTGGCCCGGGAAACCGGCAAGCTGTCAGCCTTGAGACCACCATGGGGGACTTTGCCAAGTTCATGGCTAATAATCCGGGTATAAGCATCGCCAAGCCACCTGTTCGGCTGCCCAAGCATTCCATGATTAAGAATGGAGCCCCGTACGGCACAGGCTTGATTAACATTTTGACCATTACAAAACAGAATGAGGTTTGGTGGCCGGTGTTGCCAATGATATGCCTGTCACGTGTTAGTGGAACAGTTACAACTTCAAAGGAGAGAGTATTGAAATTAGGACATGCAAAATATGGGTTTGCCATTACAGTACTATTCTTGTTACGACCTGCAAGGGACTTCGTGTCTGTCAATGTTTTCATTATACTAGCTGAAGACCCCCAGCTAGCTGTGGGCAGCTTCCATACATAGCCCAATTGCCCAATTCCTCGACGTAACAGATGCCGGCGGCACGAAGAGAAATACTAGCTGTCCCTAGATCTAGTCTAATATAGCCTTGTAATACCGCCGATAGGCATATGTAAGCCGGTAAGCTGTAATCCATCGCCAAACGCCGAAAACGCTAGCAACCAAGGCCCAATTGCCAATGCAAATAGGTCCAAAACATCCGCCCACAGATATGGCACCGAAAACGGTGTTTAGTCGGCCATCTCTTCATCGACATCGTCTCCAAAAACATCATCAACAGTGCCCCCCTCGACTCCGTCGCCACCAACATCTTCCGGCTCCGGTGCCTCAATCATTTCCGTGGCCTCACCGCCCTGTTCCTCTTCCTCGTCATCATCTCCAGCCTCATCCCACATGTCTTTGAGACCCCAGCTCGTACCACTAAGAACAAACCGCTCGCTCGGTAGTCGAACACCCCATTCGTTGGGGACTATTCTCGGCAAGGCAACTTTGTTCCGTTCTCTGGCCAGTTCTTGCATGTAATCTTTGCTGATACCGCCTCCGCTGCTCCCTCCGCGGAATTGGTACCCTAAACGGGCACCAATAGCGAGCTTAACACCGTTTGCTGTGATGGGCGCATCGCCTGCCGCAAGCGCTGATGCGCCCGAGGCCGCGGAAGGTTTCGACCCAGCTTGGGTGACGTACGGATCGCCAGAGAGGTGTAACGCGTCGCTAAGGATGGAGGATGTGTAGCGATATGCGAAGTCAAGGAGGAGTAGCGGAACGCGTTGTTCGTATGCTGTTACTCCTTGCGAAGTGAGGAGGAGTTCAATCAATCGCGCATCGCGAGGTCGGGGGTCCGAGGCACCGGGAGGTTGAGCTGGGGTTTGCGGGGCGCCAGCAGGAGCAGCTGTGGTGGATTGTGTGTTTGGCGCGGTTTGTGATGTATTGGCCGGGGCGGTGACTCCGTTGGTCTGAGGTTGGCTGGAAGCCATGGCGAGGTATTCGGACGTGTGGTTGACGTGGAAATTCAAGGTGCAGCGCTTCGGCTTGTAGCGCTGAGCTGCACATCAAGTGCCACAGGCTGAAGACACGGCGACGCTATAGATGGCGCATACACGGAGAATATGCCAAATTGTGGCCTGTGGTGCGCGGGATCCGTTCAGTCTTGGGCCACAGCGACTGAATTCAGAAGCTGGAGCTGATAATGCAACTCGCGAGAGTTTCGATCTGGAAAGCTGCAACGCACCAGCCGCAGTCGGTTACTTGTTAATCCGGGGCGGCTTGAGCACAGCAACTCGGGCACGCCAATGACGCCGAGGTCAATGGCGTGATCAGCGGGTGGTCATCGGTGACCTCAACCAGCTTAGAGTGTTGTACGCGAGCGTCCTCGGGGGCCGGGAGGAACGGCCGTTCGTCGAACTACAGTGGTACCTAAGTACCTAGTACCCAACGTCTCGGCGCTGAAGTACTGAGACGCTGCTGCCGCCTTTTTTTTTTCCCCAATCCCGTCTCCAATTGATGGAGGGGCAAAAAGTCGCAGGGTCGCCCCACCATGATCTCTTTTGGGATCTTGCATGTTGAGTCACCTGCGTTTGCCATCTTTCATCTCTCCCAATTGAACTCTATATTTCTTGGCGACCAGTTGGGAATTCCACTTCACCAGCTCCCCATTGACCCAGGAATCGCATTTCACAATGCAGACGGAGCTGCCTTTGCCGTTCCTCGTCAGCGTTGCCGTCCCGCCGGGCCTGGCCAACCTCGACGGCTTGACCCGCGAGGAAGTGTCGCTCTTGGGCAATCCCTTCCTGCAGGCAACGCCAAAGATCCAAGATAAGCTCTTACGCTTCTTCAATCGTCACAGTTACGAATTCCATGCTCATCTGGACGCTACTTCTCTGGAATCACAAGACGATGTCATCGCCCTACTGGATCGCGGGGCGCGCAAAGTATTCGTCGCTCCAGATGCGCTGTCTCGTTATACCGATTTCGGAGACAGAGTGCTTCCTGTCGTTAGCAAGCCGGACATCTCTTCAGCTTCAGAACACGGATTGCTGGTAAAGAACTTTGATCTCTCAACCCCTGAGTCGGGGAAATTTATCGCGGCAGCTCAATCTGCCAAGATCAAGAACCTCTACCTGCTTCCCACCGTTGGAACACCCCTTGACAAGTTCATCGAGGCCGCACAGAAGGCCAATGCCATACCTATTCTCCCTTCCACCGGTATGACGACGGACAAGTCTGCGGCAGGAAAGCTCTTAGTTTCCAAGGTTATCGCCAAATACTGGAAATCCGACCGCCAGGATGGTCTCATTCCTACTGTCGTCACCGATGAGGCTGGTGTAGCTCTTGGTCTTGCTTATACCAGCGAAGAAAGCCTTCTTGAAGCACTGAAAACGCAGACTGGCGTTTACCAAAGCCGCAAGAGAGGGCTCTGGGTCAAGGGTGCCACTTCAGGAGACACTCAGGAGCTCGTCCGAGTAGGGTTGGACTGCGACAATGACACCTTGAAGTTTGTTGTCAAGCAGACCGGCCGATTCTGCCATCTTGAACAGTTTGGATGTTTCGGAAACCTGAATGGTATCCCTGCCCTGGAGCAGACGCTCATTTCAAGAAAGAAGTCCGCCCCCGAAGGCTCCTACACTGCCCGTCTCTTCTCTGATGCGAAGCTTCTTCGGGCCAAGATCATGGAAGAAGCTGAGGAGCTATGTGATGCCAAGACCCCACAAGATGTTGCCTTCGAAGCTGCTGATCTCATCTACTTTGCTTTGACAAAGGCCATTGGCGCCGGCGCCACCTTGGCTGACATTGAGGCCAACTTGGACGCGAAGAGCCTCAAGGTTACCAGACGACCGGGCAATGCCAAAGGCAAATGGGCAGAGAAAGAGGGCATCAAGACTCAAACTGCTGTGCCCAAGGCTGCCCTGGCTGAAAAGCCTGCCGAAGGTAGAATCACCATGCAGCGAATCAACTCTGCCGTGGTTTCAGAGGCTGAGCTGCTCAAGGCGCTCCAGCGTCCATCTCAGAAATCCCCCGACGCGATCCTCAAAATTGTCACTCCCATCATCGACGATGTTCGCAAGAATGGTGACAAGGCCTTGCTATCGTACACTCACAAGTTTGAGAAGGCCACCTCTCTCACCTCGCCAGTTATCAAAGCTCCATTCCCCCAGGAATTCATGAAGCTCGACCCGGAGACAATCAAGGCCATCGACACCTCTTACGAGAACATTAAGAAGTTCCACGCTGCTCAAAAGGAAGATAAGCCTCTCCAAGTCGAGACCATGCCCGGCGTCGTTTGCGGCCGCTTCTCTCGCCCCATCGAACGGGTCGGCCTCTACATCCCCGGCGGCACGGCCGTCCTCCCAAGCACTGCCCTTATGCTCGGTGTTCCCGCCAAGGTCGCCGGTTGCAAGAAGCTCGTCTTGGCCTCACCTCCACGGGCAGACGGCAGCATCACCCCTGAGATTGTCTACGTCGCGCACAAAGTCGGCGCCGAGAGCATCGTCCTCGCTGGCGGAGCCCAAGCCGTCGCCGCCATGGCCTACGGTACCGAGAGCGTCAGCAAGGTCGACAAGATCCTCGGCCCTGGTAACCAGTTCGTCACAGCTGCCAAGATGCATGTCAGCAACGACACAAACGCCGGCGTGAGCATCGACATGCCTGCCGGTCCGTCTGAAGTCCTCGTCATTGCTGACAAGGACGCCAATCCCGCGTTTGTCGCGTCCGACCTGCTCTCCCAAGCGGAACACGGCGTCGACAGCCAGGTCATTCTCCTTGCGGTTGACCTGAACGAGCAGCAGCTCAAGGCCATTGACGACGAGCTCCACAACCAGGCCACTGCCCTCCCTCGTGTCGACATTGTCCGCGGCTCCATTGCCCACTCTGTCACCGTGCAAGTCAATACCATCCAGGAAGCCATGCGCATTAGCAACGAATACGCCCCCGAACATCTAATCCTGCAAATCAAGGATGCTGCCAAGTCTGTAGACCAGGTCATGAATGCCGGCAGTGTCTTTATCGGCGAATGGACCCCCGAAAGCGTCGGCGACTACTCAGCCGGTGTGAACCACTCTCTTCGTACGTTTTCCTCTTCCCCTGGACACGCAAGGCTCTGATATCCCACTGACATGAATTAGCCACCTATGGTTTCGCCAAGCAATACTCCGGCGTAAATCTCGCCTCCTTCATGAAACACATCACCTGCTCTAACCTCACCGCCGAGGGTCTCAAGAACGTCGGCTCAGCCGTCATGCAGCTAGCCAAGGTGGAAGAGTTGGAAGCCCACAGAAGGGCGGTCGAGATTCGCATCAAGCATATTAATGGGCAATGAATCATGAATCAGTAAGCGTTCAAAAAAGTAAGCTATATAGGCTGTGGTTTCTTCGTGTACATGGGCAGGTATTACATAAGCTAAATGGATAATGGGGATCAGGGTGAGAGAGGGGAATTAATCAAGGCAACCAGCAAACCACAAATGACGCTCATTCAATAAGTGAAAATGATGCTTGACTAGCTATGCTACAATTCAAACATTCTATTCGCAACACCATACAATGTCATGCCAACGCCTGCGCTATGCCATGCCTCCGCCCCATTTCACCAATGTATATTCAGCGGACCTCCATCATGATCTCCCCTTCTTCCCCCCTTTACCACTGCAGGTGCCTTTGGAGATACAAAATACTCGGTATGCTAGAGTGTACTTCACCACGGGAAAAATGCTTCCTCCTAGGATGCTCGTTTAGGTGTGGACGTCAGTGTGGGTCGAATCTCGACGGGCTCTTCAATGTATACTTCCTGTGATTCGATCGCAACGCCGTTACCGCTCAACTGCTCCCATTTTTAGCCTCAATTTCTATCCTGGTTTGCCTTTTTCTCTTGAGATAAGTGACCAACCCCCGTGATTAGTTCTGCGCCGATGTCCTCTTCGACACCCTTGCTGGAAATCATGGACCTGGCCATGTGATCAACAAGCTGGGCTTCATCGTCAGACCCAGCGTCGTCCTCTTCATATTCGCCCTCCTCGTCGTCCTCATCGTACTCCTCGTCATTCTCGACATTGTCGTCATCCACGCTTTCGTCTATCGACTCGCGTGAGATGTAGCTGTCGACGAGGCCGTCGCCAATCTCTTCGTCATCGTCGACGGTGTATGTGCTTTCATTGTCGCCCGGCACATCTACTTCTTCGCTGTCGCTGGCCGAGAATTCGTCAAGCTCAAGGGGCTCGTCGCGCCAGTATTTAAAGTCGGTGTAGTCTTCTCCGCCGCCCTTCACTAGCGTAGCGACGGGAGGGAAGTAGTGGTCGACAACTTCGTTAATATTGACATAGCTCATCTTCAGCTTGTTGAGGCTTAAAAGATCCAGAGACACCTCAGAGTTGGAATTGATAGTAAAAATTCTGGTTCTGGGTACATTTACAGTTCGGTAAGAAATCTGATCCGTCAGACGGTTGCCGAATCCAGCGTAAAATGGATTATGATCTGGTCCGTATAGGCTGCTGATGTCTCTAAGAGTAGCCATTTTGAATACGTGCGGCTGGCGCAAATAAACCTCTCGTCGCAGAGCTGCCATAGTGCGATCCGGCGACAAGATTGTAGGGCCATGGGGCATCCTGCATCCGTCTTGAACGATGCCATTGACATACGCTCTAGTCGTATCGGACTGTCCAACGGACCGACTTGTCAAATACATGATATTGTATCCGTTTTGAGCAATATCGCTATACAGCTTGGCAATACCCGTGTGTGTCCAGTCGCGGCCAATCATGTTTAGCACATGACCGAGAGCATCTGACTTGGTGATGGTTCCGTCAATGTCGGAGATGACGACTGGAGTTTCATGATTCCACAGGTACATGTTTGCGGCGCAAGTTGCGCGATTGACAGTGAAGCTCATAGAGTTCTCCCCTGGCTTCAGGTCCAGTGCCTTCAGTTGATCGCTAGTCAAACGCAGGGTCTTGGCGTAGTTGACATTTGGGTTTGCAGCATATCCAGGAGGAGTCCGAGGAGGGGTCTGCAATCCTGATGGACCAGCGTCGGACTCTGATCGTCGGTGTGATGGGACATGGGGGCTCGTCGTAACGTCGCTGCCGTCGCTGTGATATCCTGGATCAGAGACGGCATCAGTGGCCGTGTTATGGCGATGGGCCTTGAGCGACGACTCAATCGTTTTGTTCATGGCCGCCTGCTTCGCCTCTTCACTGCTGTAGATCCACAGATTGCCTTCCTCGTCAAAGCCGAAAAGGGAGCCAATATCATAGTTGCCCTCAAGCTCCTCGGAAAGAATCTTCCTAGCGAGGATCTCGGCCTGAAGCATGTCCTCTTCGCTGCTCTTGAAACCAGTCATATCGAGCATGAGGTCTCCGGTTTCGGTGACGCGGCTAGGTATGTTTACAGCAGACAGCTCCTGGGCTAGAGTTCTAGCCCGCTCCATTCCCAAAGGTGGAGGGCTGTGTGACCTTTCGGATTCGTTCGGATCTCTAGACTCGTCTTCGTCATCACGATCGACAGCTCTTGCAGACTGCCTGAGAACGTCGTCACTGCGCGGCCGGGCCAGGGAAGAGGTCCAATCACCAGACATCGGACGCGGCTTTGACATATTTGGTGAAGCCGATAGCGGAGTCATCATGCCTAATTTCACACTTAGCAATTTGCAAATACTACAGGGGAAAATCATATTGAGAGCAAAACAAGAAAGCTAACCATTTCCGTCGGGCTGAGTCTGTAGCACAGCTGCTGGTGGCCGAGTTGAATTGCTCAGTTCTTGATCAAGTTCAAGAATATCGGGATCATTGAGCCCGGCAGGCGCTTCCTCAGGACCCAGTCCGGGACTGCTGGCCGGAGAAACGAGGGGAGACGTTTGGAGCGATGCAGGGACATTTTCAGTAGTCTCAAAGACAAAAAAAGCCTCGCCGCCTTCCCCGAGCTTCATGGAGTACTCCTGTTTAATGCCATTGACCTTGAACTCGACTTTCTTCTCAGACGGTCGGAGTAGCGAGAACTTGCCGAATCGCACGTGAAAGGGCGAGCAGGCGAGAGAGCCATCTTCATGCTGGACAACGATGACATCAATAGCACCGCTAAGCGTGGCAGGGTTGATGGAGTTCCATGCTGTCGAGACTGAGTCGCTGAGATTTCGGACGTATTGCATGGTTCCCGGCTGCGGCCTTGTCACGCCTCAAATGCGTAGCAGCGTGTTGTGCGTCGATGCCAACCGCTGGCCTGGAGGACGTCTGGTCAAGTTTGGTGGGAAGAGAAGCCCAACGTTGGTGGGAAAGGTAAACTCGGGAGCGAGCGCAACGACGGAGCCAAGGCGCGCAAATGGGTTCCTAGCAGCTATGATACGCTTTTTGGCCACAAAACACTGCGGTTTGGGTTGGGAAGCTGTTGTAACAGTGTTTTGTATTTGTGTTGGGCCGGCCGGGTTGGAGCTTGGGAAGAACAAGCGATGACGCTGACGAGCTAGTGACACTGGGTGGCGGGAGCAGCTGATAGGGAAGGCTTATCGTCGAGCCAGAAATGCAGGGAAGCAAATGCGATGCGAATCAGAGAGGGCTATGCGCTGACGGGACAGAGAAATTGAAGAAGTGGACGATCAGGGAATGGGTAGACGGGCAGATTTGTAAAACGAAGGATTGGATAGCGAGTCGGTGGTGGTTGGGCAGTTTGGTTGAATCTGTTCAACGAAGAAGGACCGACCCGTCGCGGCGGCCGGAGGTGCATATTGATAGCATGTTAGTCGGAGTAGTGGGACGTAATGGGACTTTGTTGGTACAACGGATTGTGCTCCTGCGGGCCCCTCCGTCATTGTACCCTGTGCTTACCACCTTTGGGCCAAGGTACCTGCCAAGTCTTCCGTACGGAGCGCCTGGATTACAGAATCTCATCTTTCTCGACCGGAACAAGCACAGTCACTTAATTGTGCTGCAGGACTCTGATTCGGCGCCGGGTTCGGTTCGCGCTGCCGCCAAACTCTTCCCAGCGCCATCAATTGAAGCCTGTGCCATGCGTCATGGCTCCCATCGTGAACCAGTTCAAGCCAACAAAAGCCAGCCAGGGGTGTTCAATGCGACCAGGTTGTTCTTGCCGAGTCCAGTAGGCTGCTCCGGCCGCTATAGAGCCTCGGTAGTACGTAGTCCAGCAGACACCCGTCATGCCGCGAGATACGGAGTACTCAGACAGCAATCAGCTTTTTTTTACTCGTCAACTGGTCCTCGGGACGGCCTGGTCACAGTCCCCCATCAAGTGACGACGACTTGGCATGACGCACAACACCGAGCCGCGGTATGTAATACGCACCGTCATGTGCCCCAGGTGTCAACCTGGCCCCAAGGCAAAGGCACTGAAAATTCCCAATGCCTCGGTGGTGGCGCCCGAATCGGCTGCATGGATTCCATCCTCCAGAGTGGCTGGCCACTGGGCTGTCTTTCTGCTTGATCTCGACAAGGGAGGAAAGCCAAGGCGATGCTAATGTGAGGTCGATCTGCAGCAGAGATCAGGCCATCAGCCAACGACTATCGCTTTTGTAAAGTCAATATTTAAGCGTCGTTGCTGGGTGCTATTGCTTACTAACTGCAACTGAGGCACAATATTAGTTGCGGCCATGCCCATGCCTTGGTCTGAGGGCGACGGCCTGCCTGCCGTGGGAAGCCCTGCTGGCATATGACGGAATAGCTGCCCATGGCGCTTTCCTGAAGAGGGCACCAGGCTGCCCGTACAGCGCGCCGTCTCCAGCGCCTGTTTGGCAGGGTGCAGGGCAGTCTTTGGTGCCACAGTGGTTCTAGATGTCAACCAAATTCCTCATGTTGCCCCCTGCTTTCCCCCAATCATTTAGCCTGCCCACCAAACCCGCCGCCTACTTAAGTACTTTACTACAGTACAGCACTCAAGCGCTGTACGTACATACACAACAGGCACCTGCGTTTTGCATCTCTCTGTCCAGTCATAGTCAATCGCCACTCGCCAGTCGGTACGCGGCAGGTCAACTGCTGCTCCAAGAGTCCAAACATTGGTCGCTCTCCACATCATGGGCCTGGCCTTGTCGAAATCATATGTCCACCACCGACGACGATTTTCCTTTTTTGCCCTCCACCTTTATTCCCCAACTGCCGGCCGCCTCACCACCACACTCTCGGCCAGGTATTGATTATTAGTCTTTGCGATCTGGATTTTCTCGCCTCCTCTCAGCAGAGCTAGGAGGGCTGAGAATATGACATGGGAGCCCTTGTCCTTGATCACGCTCTTGGTCACCTTCCTCACGCTTGGCTTGTGTCGTAGATACCTGTCCGGCTCGAGAACCCTACTCTACGCTATCGTCACCGCCCTTCTTCTGCGTCTCGATGGCCGCGCCGTAATGTATCGCATTTATTTTTTTGCTCACGATGCTGTCATCAATGCCTCGCCGGTTGCGCGCTTCAAGATGGGGCTGACTCTGGGGGCTGTCATCTGGTGAGTTGAAAAAGCCCTTACCCAGCCTTGTTTGCTATGCCGATTCGCGACCACCTGGCTAGACCAGGCCCGCCGCCGACAGCCAAATCGCTTTGTGTCGTACCTGTTCTCTTCTTGTGCTCAAAACGGCTAACGGCTTTCCCTCCCTCATCTGCTATAGGCTGGTTCATCGCGCTTTTCAGACACTTTGGAAACCCATCCCCGAGCTCGTCAATATTCTTGGGCTTGACATCCCGCCGCCCCCAGATGTCTGCCTGGCTGGAATTCGATCCGACTCGGCATATTTAACGTGGGATGCACGAACTGCCTCCCAGCGCCCGGTTCAGAAACTCTTAATACAGGTCAATGGCGTTGATGGTGGGAAAACCTCATTCACCCCTAACACTGCTTGGTGGAACAAAGTCCATCCATTCAGAAATGCTAACCAAGACTTGAGTAGTGGATGAAGTAGCCGGTAATGAGAAGGCAATCACAATTACCGGCCTGAGGCCCAATCATTTTTACAACATCAGGGTTATAGCAGTTAGTCCAAACAACTTTCGATCTAATTGTACCGTCATCAGGCTACGCACCTTTGGTAAAGATGGTCGACCTCAATTGGGAAACTCTCGATTGCCTACCAGTTTCGTGGATCCTGGCCTCTCACGTGCGAACACCGACGATACCGACGATTCCGATGGGCCTGGATTCCCCTACCCGACCGTCGAGGCTACGCCCGTGAATGATGGAGTCACGGGCTCTTCCAGAGATCTTGCAGCAGGAGTTTCTGGCCAGCGGCGAAACACCCTTAACAGACGACATTCTCCGTCAGTAGCAAGCACAGACCAGGCACAAGTCAAGCCTACAGCATTGAACGAGCCGGAAATGTCACTGGCCGAGCTGAATGAGAAGTTTGAAGCTATTCGAAAGGAAATAGACGATATTGTCCAATTGACCGCCAAGGAACAGGCCGAAGCGCTGCAACAAGAAGATGAACTGAAAAGGGAGAGGGACAGGAAGAGACAAGCTCTCAAGGAGAAGGAGGAGTGCACCACTCAGCTTAAAGCCATGATGCGGACGACCATGGAGCAAATGAGAACCGCAGAAAAGGAGCGAGCGAAGATGGAGCAACAGTTGAAAGAAAAGGAAACGAAAAAATCAAAAATCAAGGACAGCATTTCCAAGTTCGAAAAAGAAGTGGAGAGAATGAGGAAGGAGCGCGAAGGGTTTGAAACGCAGAAAAAGGAGTTAAAAGAAAAACGGGATCATGATGTCAAAGGTCTCGATGCCCAAGTGGCGTCACTACAGGAAAAGTGCGCCGGGCTCGAGGCCGAGCTCGCTCAAAAGGGCAAACAGCTGCAGGATCTCAAAGCAACCCGAGAGCAGCTTCCCGACGCCAACGACGAGCAATGGAAAGAGGAGGATCAGCGGCTCAGGAGGGAGTGGGAGATGAAGAGGCGAGATATACTTAACCGTCTTGATGCCGAGACTAAGCTTGGGCACACTCTAGACCAGCAAATTCAGGCCCTTGCCGACCAGCTGGCTTTTCAGCAACAACAGGCTGGTCTGAATTTCTATACTCAATCACCGCCCACGGCGATGGATTACGACCCAGCTATGGCATCTCAAGGTGCGAAGCGCCTGAGCTTTCCGGGACCTGGCTTGGGTGGTACCCCAGTATCATCACCTCCTTTGGCTCACGCTGAACCACATCTTCAAGGCAATGCATCGTTTGGTGCTCCCACATTTGGACCTGGCCTTTTTATGGACATGTCGGGGAACAATCATATCGAGGCGCAATCAGAAGCCGAGCTCAAGGCTGCTACTGGTCCGCTGAGTCCGTCCGCCCAGACTCTTCTGCCGTCAAACATCTTTGACGACGCCGAGGAGTCTGAGGATGTTAAGGAATCTCACAATCCGATTCTGCCTCAATCTATCGTGGTCGAAGAGGAGGGCCCGCAATCACCAGTCTCCCCTGCACCGTCTTTTCATGTCTTCTCAAGTCCCCACGGATCCGCGAATAATTTACCCTACCATCAATACGCGGACTCGGGTGATCGAATTTCATTAAATATGCCTCAATCACCTCCCGCGCGCCCACCCGCTAGCAGCCACCGATTCTCAACCTTCTTTTCGCTTGCTCGCGGTAGTAAGGCCCCAAAGACGTCTGACGAAGAAGGGCCCCCAATTGGCAGTCTCAAGATAGGCCAGAGTCAATCGTTTCCCCGCGGCACGGAGGAAGGCGAGAACTTGGAATTTCGCCGGAGGCTGTGGCCCTGGGGCATCAGCAACAACAACAGAAATTCTACTACCCAAGATAGTGCATCGGGAAGCTTAAACTACTTCTCTGCACGTCGGGTCAATTCCTTGAAGGGGTCTCGAATTTCCGCCATCTCGGACCGAGAACCAGACCTTTCTAGGCCGCCTTCCATTACTTCCGTCGATCGTCCTCGCCCTTCTACTGACAGCGCATCCATTTGGGGAGCCCCTGGAGACGCAGCCATCAGCTTGAAGAACAGTCGGTTTTGGTCGCCGAGTCGAGGCGGGTCAAGAAGGCCGTCATTGCACGGTTCAACTACTGCTCTCACGACCACCTTAGCGTCTGCAGACGACGAGATCTTGGAGGAGAGTGACCTGCGAGATCCCCACACATCGCCTAGCCAAGTTGGTGTAATCGGATCCCGTCCACCAGCAGCATCGTCCAAGTCTCTCATGAGCCAGCGTTTGAACCCCACAGCTCCCACATTCATGGGCAACATCTTCCGTAAGGATAAGGACAAGGACGGAGGCAAAGACAAGCCCAGGGAAGACAAGGGAAAAGGCAAAGAGCTCACAACACTAGTCACTGACTTCCCCGAGAGTCACGATGACTCGCCCTCCGATTCTCGGATTTCCAGGGACGCATACTCTCTTCACACGGGCACGTCGGTCTCGGAGTCTCACGAATCGTTGCAACTAGACCTGACGCAGTCCAACACACCTTCAGATATGAACTCTGTGTCAACATCAAATGCGAAAGATTCGGATAATGTAGTTCGGAAATTGTTCCGCAAAGGTAGCTCTAGCAAGTTCAGTCTCTCCTCTAGGCTTGGCAAAGAGTCTGGGCTTTTTAAGAAAGGCCCGGGAAGCATCTCCAACTCGGACAGGAATGCAGCCGCCGAACATCGGATGAGCATTGGCAATGTAGATGACCTTGGCGAAGACGGCACGCCCTTTGGGCGCAGTTATGACAGCATGACCAGCAGCCCATCTCTTGGTCCATCAAAGTCGAAAGACGGCAAGGAAGGACGAATGAGCTCCTGGCGCTTCTCTATGCGTAAGAAGGGTAAGGACGCCCCGGCTAAGGACAAAGAGAGCTTGGAACCAGAACGGGCCCCCGAAGAGGACTGGCGATAGTCAAAAGCGGATTATGATTATACTCTGGATTAGCGGGTTACATTGAATACAAAGTAGCATTGACATGATGAGATGAATCCTGGCTTCAGTCTCCTTTCGTGATGTGCCTCGTCCTTGCCTGGGTTCGGAAACTACCACAAGAGGCGCAATATTTAAGTGCAAGGGAGTAAGTATAGTACATCCCAGGCCAGAACGAAACTCAAGATGCCAGGCACATTATGAATACCAAGTACTCGGTACTCGGTACGGCGCCTTGAAAAGCCCCTGGCTGTGTCGGCGGCCAGACCCGCTTTTCGATGTCGCTGACACGGACACGGACATGCGATGAGGTTGCAACAACTCCAAGCTGCCCGAAGTGACTTGACCTGTGGAGTATGCCAGCTTGCAGTACGGAGGATAGGCCTTGACGTTTCTATTCCGAACTGCTACACCTGCTCGTCTGACCAAGTAGGCACGATGCCTGTCCCGTTGAATAAAAGCACATCTGGAGCTCCGGCTTTGGGTGCGGGTAAGGGGCTCCCTATCGTACACAATGTTCAGTCAATCCCAACAAGCTAACCACGGCCATGAATTTTTTTTTAAAAAGAAGCAGTCGACTATGATCCAATGGACCATCTGAACATGCTGTTCTCACACCCGTCTACCGTATCATCGATTAGCCAAGTTTCACAAACCCTCAAAGCCCACCAAAACGTACTGTCCAGCGAAATCAACAGCCTCGAACTCGAACAAGCGTACAAGCCAGACTCAAGTCTGGAGCGTATGCAGTCGGCGCAGACAGAGCTGGCGGAGCTCTTCCGAAAAATAGAAACGGTGCGATCACGAGCGATTGAGACGGAACAGAACATTACGACCATGACGGCGGAAATCAAGCGGCTGGACGGCACGAAGCGTAACCTGACGCTCAGTATGACAGCACTCAAACGCTTGCAGATGCTCACGACGGCGTATGAACAACTCCGTGGGCTTGCTAAAACGCGGCAATATCGAGAGTGCGCTGGTCTTTTGCAGGCCGTGATTCAGTTGATGAAGCACTTTAACAGTTACAGAAGCATAGAGCAAATTGCCACGTTGAGCCGCGAAGTATCCGAGCTCCAGAGGGAACTTCTCGAGCAGGTGTGCGAGGACTTCGAAATGACCTTTGTCAAGGGAGAAGTGGCAACGAAGAGGAACATGCTTGTCGAAGCCTGCTTGGTCATGGATGCGTTGGGAGACTTGGCCAAGTCGAGAATCATCACTTGGTACGTGAATACGGAGCTGAGAGAGTACCGGCAGGTTTTCCGTGGGAACGACGAGGCTGGGAATCTGGATAACATTGGGCGGAGATATGCGTGGTTTAAGCGTATGGTGAAGACGTATGAGGATGAGCACGCGGCTATTTTCCCCTCACACTGGCATGTGGGGGAGTTGCTAACAACGGCATTTTGTGATGGCACACGAGATGACTTCAAGGGGATTTTGGAGAGGAGCATGCGACGTGGAGACGGAACCAAGGTTGACGTTAACCTGTTGTTAAGATGCCTGCAGGAAACTCTGGACTTTGAGCAAAGTCTCGAGAAGAAGTTCTCGGATGGGCCGAGGGCGAGCATTGATACTCTGAGCTCGACCGAGGAAAGGTCGCACAGCTTTAACGGGCTCATCTCTGTTGCATTCGAGCCGTACCTAAGCCTGTGGGTTGACTCGCAGGATAAGCAACTGGCGTCCTTGATGCCAAAGTACCGCAACCAACCGCTTATTCCTGCCGACGAGGAGTTTTCTCCTCAGGGGATTACTCCGTCTGCCATTGAGCTTTTCCACTTCTACAAACTGACTCTGTCGCAATGTGCGAAGTTGTCGACCAGTGACAGACTCCTAGACCTGTCCAAAGTCTTGTCCAAGTACTTGGATGAATACGCGCAGCAAGTCCTGCTGCATATCCTTCAAGCCGGGGGACCTCATGGTCCGTCACTACATAATGCTATTCTGGTGCTCAACACTGCCGACTTTTGGTACATCAACACGGGCCAGCTGGAGGAGAATATCAAGAAGCGCATCGATAACGACCTGGTGCCAAAGGTCGATCTTTCGTCGCAAGCTGACGCTTTCCTGGGAGTGGCCAGCGCGGCTGTGTTGGCATTGGTACATCTTGTTGAGTTGGAATGCGAGGGGACGTGGCGTGAGATGAAGAATACAAACTGGAGTACAATGGACACGGCAGGCGATCAGAGCACCTATGTGGGCGAGTTGGTGAAGCACGTTGACACAAAGACTGGAGAGATACTGGGCCTGGTGGGCAAGCAGCAGTACGCAAGGGCGTTTTGCGATAATCTGGTTGAGCACATGGCCACAGCTTACATCAACAACATTGTGGTATGCCGGCCTATCTCAGAGGTTGGCGCGCAACAGGTAGGCTTCGCAGACGGCAGCAAGCGTACAAGCACACAGTCACTGATAACGTCCAACAGATGCTCGTAGACAAGTACGCACTCACCAAATCCTTCGGCAACCTCCTCTCCCACCACAACCCGTCGCCATCAACGCAGCAAGCACCCCCCTCCAGCTTCGTCCGCCGCGTCGAACACGCCATGAACCGCATGGACCCTCTCCTCAAAACCCTCCAAGTCCGCCCTTCGCCCCCCGAGGGCCTTGTCCAAGCCTACCTCATCCACATCGGCGACCGCTCCGACACAAACTTTAAAAAGATACTCGAACTCAAGGGCATCCGCAAGCAAGACCAGGCCCACCTCATCGAACTATTTGGCATCCACCGCGACGGCAGTTCCAATGAGAAGCTCGTCCAGAGCTCCCCTCTGCTAACGCCCCTCATGACGACGACAGGCATGGGAAGTGGCGCTGGCATTGCCGGGATACATGCCGGGACGGCACTGACCGCTGCCTCTGGGGCAAGGTTCGACGCGGGCTTTTTGGGGGAAAAGCTTCTCAGTGCGGCCAGGGACATTGGAAACACTACGCAGAGTACGGAGAAGGCCACTATCAACGAGAACCTGAGGAATTTTGGAAAGTTCTTCAAGAGAGATATTGGCGGCTTAGGGGCGAGGTTTGGGAAGGGGAGTGCTGATGATGGGGGAAGGTAGTTTCGGGTCTAGACGGGGGGAGTGTAAATAAAGACGAGCATTGTTTCTTTTCCTTGGTCCGATGTGGGAGGGAGTTGGAGCATGGAGCATGGAGCAGTTTTCTCGGAATCGAAGGACGTGGTGAGCTCTTTCATCACCGCGGCCTGGATAGGAAAGGAGATACGAATTCGTTCTTCGGAGCATCGGTGTTAATTGACAGTGGGAACAAAAGCTTGGATACAAGCACCCGAATACGTAAAGTACGGAACGATTTACATGATTATCTGGCTCGTGACTGTGGACTTGTATCGTCATATGGTACCACCTTGTATTCTCATCGCCTTGGATAATCCTCAACTACTACTGAATATATAGTAGGTACGTAGGTAGATGTAGGTGATGATGCAGGAAACATGGCAGAAGCAGAATGCCTTTACGTTGTGGCTGAAAAGAGCATTCCAGGCTCCAAAAATGGCGAAATGAAGAAAAACACAACCATGTACTCATCTTGAGATGCCATCATTTTCACATGTGTCCTATCCAGGTTCACGGCAGCTAATCTAAATCCTCACGCCACTCAAGCTGGCGACTTCCGATGACGCCAGGGGCCCAAGAAGGATTTGGAATTTCACGCAGCACCCAAAAAGGTCCCCCTGATTCCACCACCACGCGCCACCTCGTCCCGCAAAAAGTCAGTCACTTAATTGGAAATCAACAGCTTCCAAACACCGAAAGACAGAAATACCCACCCAACCACTCTGCACGTCTGCGCGCGATGTCAAAACCAAACGCCGATTCACACTCCTAGTCCCAGTCTTTTCCTAGCCGCCGCAAGCCCTATTTAGCAGCGAACGCCGGAGCCCCTCTCGTGCTCGTCTCTCACAACCACACCCCACCACGAATCGCGACATTTCCGACAACCAAAGAAACATAGCGTGCAGGCTTGGGGTGTCCTTGCACTTATAAGAAGCTCATTCCTCCCCGTCAATACCGCCAAACTGTTCGCCTCAACTTTCCGGCGGACTTTGCGCTCCAGTGCTGGGCTATCGATTGCCGCAGCCGCAGCGTTTCAACAAACTCGTTCTGGGGCCCAGGAAGTAGGCGTTCGAAAGATGCACAGCAAGGTTGTCAGTACGTGTGATTCCCCACCACGAAGCTGCGAGAATGCACTTCATCCGCAACGAGGGCTAACGAGAGAATTTTTATAAAAAAATAGTTATTGGCTCGGGGCCAGCGGCCCATACTGCCGCCGTCTACCTGGGCAGGGCAGAGCTGAAGCGTGAGTTGGACCATCTCACTGACCCGACATGGCAAAACCACAAACTAAACTGGCTGCAGCCGTTCTCTACGAGGGCTTCATGGCCAACGGCATCGCAGCAGGCGGCCAATTGACGACCACGACCGAGATTGAAAACTTCCCCGGCTTCCCCAAGGGCATCATGGGCCAAGAGCTAATGGTACGTCCCGACGTCCCAACCTGCTACAACAAGACACCGTCACAGCAAAAAGACGCAAGCCGCCTAACCCCCGGGTCCTAGGACAACATGCGCGCGCAATCCGAACGCTTCGGCACCGAAATCGTCACCGACACCGTCACAAAGCTGGACCTCGGCAGCCGCCCGTTCAAGTACAGCACCGAGTTCTCGCCCGACGAGACGCACACGGCCGACGCCGTCATCATCGCAACCGGCGCCTCGGCGCGCCGCATGAACCTCCCCGGCGAGCAGACGTACTGGCAAAACGGCATCTCGGCGTGCGCCGTGTGCGACGGCGCTCTCCCGCTCTTCCGCAACAAGCAGCTGTACGTGATCGGCGGCGGCGACTCGGCCGCCGAGGAGGCCACCTTCCTTACAAAGTACGGCAGCCACGTCACCGTCCTCGTGCGCCGCGATGTCCTGCGCGCCAGCAAGGCCATGGCCACGCGCCTGCTCAAGAACGAAAAGGTCA